GGATAAATTAGAAGCCCAGAGGAGCAGAAGTTGCTCAAAACCTGGAATCGTTCTATATTATCTACCAACCTGAAGAATCTGAAATGTGAATGCTGTCTGAGCTGTCAGGGAAGCTAAGAGCTGAGGCGGGGAGGCTGGGTCCTGATGCTAGGACAAGACTAAAGGAAGAAGCCAGAGGCTCAGTCCCGGTTCCTGGGAGGTGCAGGGATCAGCGCACCCCCTTCCATCTGCGGGACAGTGCTCCCCCCCTCCCGTCTGCAGGACAGTGCTCTCCCCCTCCCATCTGCGGGACAGTGCTCTCCTCGGACGTCACCAGCATTTCTTCAGGACGTCTTCTAACTGTGTGGCTGCAGTCATGAGCCCATGCAGCAATTTGCTTTTGTTTCTTAATTTATTGTAGGAAAGACAAAGAAGACAACAACCCTCAGAGATCCTACCATATTGAGAAAAAAAACCACTTTTTAGGGTAATATCATACATTTTCCTAGGATACATATATAATAAATACTGAATGTTTATGTATATGTTTTCTTAGTCTATTCAATAATCACATAAATTGAGCAATGTAGATTTTACTTATTTATTTATATAATAAATAATCCTGTGTCACACGAACTTCCGTGTTGGATGGAAATGCCATTTACCTTTGGTATTTCCTCTTGAGGACCTGGCACTTGTTCTTGAGAATAGGTGTTGTCCCCTGGCCCTGCTCTCTGCCGTGTCTTCTATTGCTCCCGACCTTATTTGGAGAGGTAGGACCTTTCTCTGAATCCGGAGCACACTGTCTTGGTCAGACTGGCCTTCGACATCCCCTTGTCTCCGACAAGCTCCTCTCTGAGGATTCAGGTCCTCCTGCTCGCAGCAGGCGCCTTACCCACTGAACCATCTCGCCCAATTTATTTTATTTCTTCTAGAAGCATTTTGAACTGAAAAATACATAAACATATCCTCAAGGATATGTGATAAAACAATACTCAGAAACCCTCTGCAGCACTGATAAACACGGAACCGATCTTTCTGGACCCAGTAATCTTTCAAACACTTGAACACTTGAGTTGTTGACCAGGAATATTATTTGCTAAGCAAGCACCAATTTCTTCCCTCCCCAGATTCTCCCCAGGAGGAGGGAAAATGCAAAATAGTATTGAACAGCAAGACTTACAAGACTAGCGAAGCCATCGGTTCCTAGGTCAAAGGCTGCTGTAAGAACTACTCTTCTCCGGTAGATGGCACCATTTTCTTTCTTCGAGTGTTTGCCACTACACCCCCCCCCGCCCGCCCCGCCCCTCTGCCTTAACCATCCTTGTTTGAGGTAGCAGCTGACAATAATTACGTTATTGGTGTATCTTTCTTTTTCTTTTTTTTTTTTAAAAAAAAAATAACCGCGGAGACGTCTAAAAGCCCCAGATGAGGAGCATCTTTGCCTTGGCTGAGTTAGCCCCGCGGGGTCCCATCTCTCAACGTCTTCCCCATTTCCCAAGGAATAGCTGGCATGCTGGATAAAAAGCTTTATAAAGTTTTCCTGCTTCTACAATAACAAAACAAATCAGAAGTCAAATACTGACTCCGGGATTAATGTTTCCCAAATAGAGCAAACTACTCATCAAATTATGCAGATACCGCCTCTGGGGGGTTAATAATGAACTTTAAAAAAATTCACTAGCTCAGTTGTGATGGAAACATTGGCAAAACATTTTGCCGCCCCATGAGCCCTTTGAATGCCCTAACAGATGGTAGGAGTTTCACTCCGACAGGACCTACACACGGCAGAAAGGCAATCTGTGGAGGAGACTAATAAAGGATTGAATGGAAATCGTGATGCAAGTGCGGGAGGTGAAAGATGGAGGAGTAAGCTCTTGATTATACCTTCAAACACTGTGCTAGCCATTTCAGGGCAGGCAGAATACGGGGCCCACATTTGCTTTTCCAGTTCTCTTTTACTAATGGGCCCCAAGTCGCTGGAAAACAAATTCTAGGGCTCGGCGTTTACCTTGAAAGCAGGCTGTATTTCGACTGAGTCCTCTTTGTGAACACTAGAAGGTGCAGAGATGTTTAAGTTTTAGGGTGTTTTAAGTCAACCACATATGTGGGAGACTGGCCCAGGCTCTTGGTAGTAGGTGACTCTCTACGCAGCATCCTAGAACTTCAAGCAATAAAAGCCCGCCCAGCCTCTGCCCCCGCCCGAGGCAGGCGCAGGTGAAGGCTGCCCACTGTCCGCCTCCACCTCCTCCCCCTCCACCCGGCAGCACTGACAGGTGGCCTTGCCCCGCCTTTCTGTCACCCAGGGCGTCTAGGGCCACAGCTCCAGGCCATGAGCCACAGCCGTGCGCCAGGCATAGCAAGAGATGGGACTCCTGAAGTCGGTCTTCTCCCCGAGAGCGCGACCTGGACACCGCAAAGCAAAGGGCATCCAGCGACCTGCTTTGGCCGAGGGTGGTCCATCAGGCACAGCTCGCCTTTCCTGGCCAAGGGCCCAGTGGAGCCCTATGGCCCGGCACATCCAACCCTGTGCTGTGTTCTTCGCCGCTCTCTGCCACCTTACGCATCCCAGATCCCAGGAACCCCTCCAAGCCCCCAGCGATAGTAACTCCGGGTGACCACACTCCGGGTAGTCCACACCGATCAGCTACCAGCTGGGCTAAAGGGTCAGGACCAGAAGAGCCACATTCCCAAGGGCGAGCAGCGGGTGGCAGCACAGTCCCAGCTCCAGCTCCGTTCGGGTCCCCTCCTGTCCCAGCTCTGGCGGCTCCGGTGCCCCGGCCGCTGTAGAACACGCGGGTGGCAGCATGGAGGAATTCTCCCGGACCCCTCCCCTTCTCCAAACTTCAGTGCTTTGCTTTGCAGATCCTCCAATCTGTGCTCTTCCGCTCCTCCCACTTGGCTTCCACCTCCTCTACGGTCCGGGCTTAGGAATCCGTCCCTCCCCCCAGCCCGCCGCCCGCCGGGCCCGGGGATCCTCCCCCGACTCCCCCGCGTGCCGCCGCCGCCGCCGCCCGGGTTCCTCTCCCCCCGCTCGGGCGCTCCCTGCCAAGCCCATGATGTAATGGTGTATGTTAATCAGTAGCATGTGGGGAGCTCCGGGCGGCTCAGTCCTTCGCGAGCCGACACTGGAGGCAGCAGCGGCGGCGGCGATAGCGCCCCGAACCCGCAGCGCCGCACTCTCCGCGCGCCACCAGCCCCGACGGCATGGCCCGCAGCCCGCGCTTCGAGCGCCCCCAACCCCGCTGATTGCTGCCCCGGACCTGGACCCGCGCGCAGGGCCCCAAGCCGCAGGAATGAGCCGAGTGGAGGTGAGCGTCCCTCCTACTGCCTCCTGCGAGGCACTCAACGGTCCCTCCGACCCTTACCCGGGGACTTCGCGCTCCCACTCAGAACTTCTAGGCGGCAGATGTTGGAAGCCAGCGGCCCCCAGAGAGCCGGGTGGTTAGTCTTTCCTACTCGCTGCGCCACCAGAGCTGGGGTGGGACTGTAAAACCCCCAAACCTAACTTTCTTCCTTGCGATCCAGGGGTGGGGGGGCGTATGCCGGAGGGAGGAATCTGCATTCCCCACCGGGACCGCCCTGCCGCTCAGGAAAGCAGTACTACGTGCTCCCACGGTCCCCGAGCAAGGCGTGCTCCCACAACTGCTACGCCTTGGGCCTGGGACCCACGGGCGAGGACACTCCGACCCGTAGGCTGAGGCGGGGACGGGAGCAGGATGCCTAAATCACACGCGGGCGAACACACACACACACACACACACACACACACACACACACACACACACGTCTGACTGCTGTGGGCCAAGCAGGCCCGGGAAACCTCCCCGGTGGGCTGGAGCGGCGCTGGGGAGTGAGAGCTCCGACTGAGCCTTGTCGAGCTTTGGGTAGGGAGAGTTTATTTTTGTCTCAGCTGTCGCAGCGGCTGCTCACGGCCTAAATCCAGAGGGGAGCCTGGCGGTGGAGATGCTGGCTGTTGCTGTAGATGGAGCTGCAGCCGTACGGCTGCTTCTCCGGGAGGAGGAGGAGGGAGGGAGGGAGGAGAGGAATTGGAGGAGGGAGGAGGAGAGAGGGAGGAGGAAGAGGAGGAGGAGGAAGAAGAGGAGAAGAGGAGGAGGCTGGAACCCTGGCTGCCTCTGTCACCGCCTCTGCTTTGCATTAGCCCCCACCCCACCCCCGCGCCCCTTCGCAGCCGCATTGCAAGTTTGCAGCGCGGGGAGGATCTGTTGCTGGTGCTGGCGTTCGTAGACACAGCCCTGGAGGCCACCCCGGGTGGGGCGTGCAGGGAGCACTAGCGGGTCATAGCCGCAGCAACAGGAAGCCGCGGGGTCTCCTCCCGCACCTGGGAAGGAAGCTGTGCACTAGCTTAGCTTGCGCATCCGAGTGTGGAGGGGCCGGCTGGAATTTGGGGGACTTGCCTCCACGGGACACCCCCAACCTTAGCTTCCACACACCCCCTCTACCGGACTCCCCCTGGTGCCCGGATCCCCCTAGACGCTCTCCTCCGGGGGCCGAGGTCTCACTGCAGCTCTTTCTGTCTTTTCAGTAGTGATTGCCGTTTGGGAATGCGGGTGTGAAGGGTCCGAGCTGCCGCCCAGCGGGGAGAAGACCCCGGGACGCCGGAAATCACCATCCTTAAGCTTCAAGAAAAGGGGAAAGAGCATTCTTCATTCAGTTTTGTGCCTTGTGAGGGATTTATATTTGTAATCGCTATTTTTTACAAAAGAAACATCGCCGTGCTACTGTCTGTCACTGTCTCTGGGGAATCAACCAGAACCACCGGAACGTAACTGAACCAAGAGAGAGAGAGGCAGGAGCCAAATCAGTACCTGCAGCGCCCGGGCACCGGAGACCTTGGAACAGGAACGCGTCTCAGGAGGCCGCGGGGCTGCGGCTCCGCCAAACTTTGGGGCGGGCAGGGGCGCCGAGAGGCTTCGTTGACGGAGGGCGGCCCCCTAACCATGATGTTTCGCGACCAGGTCGGGGTGCTGGCGGGCTGGTTTAAGGGCTGGAACGAGTGCGAGCAGACTGTTGCGCTGCTGTCGTTGCTCAAGCGCGTGAGCCAGACCCAGGCCCGCTTCCTCCAGCTCTGCCTGGAGCACTCGCTGGCCGACTGCGCCGAGCTGCACGTCCTGGAAGGAGAGGCCAACAGCCCGGGTAAGTGCGTGGCCGTGGCTCCCCGGGAATCCAGACTCCCCGCCTCCCTCCCGGGCCCCGCCCCCCGGCCTCCACTCCGCGGGGACCTCATCCCTCCTGGCCCCGGGGGCTCTGGGCATCTGCCTCCGACCCTGTTCCTCTTCACCTCCTCTGTCAGCTTTGGGGTTTTGCCCATTGTGAACTCCTTAGTCCATTCCGTGTGGTAGCTACGGTAGCATGAATGATTGATTTTTTTTCTCTCTCCTGCGCTTTCCTAGGAAATAAGTAAGTCAGGTCACGTAGAGTCTGGATTTTCTGCCAACCCCCCCCCCCCCCCCCCCCCCCCCCGCCACCCCCCCCCCGCTCCTTTCGGGTAACGTGGCTCGTTGGTTTTCAGCAATACACCAGGAAGCTGGGGACTGCCCTTCCAGTCGCCGAGCTCAGACAGGCTGTAAGAATACCTGAAAATGCAATTTTAGTATTCATTCTCCTCCAACCCCCACGGATAGCACTGTTTTAGAGGTTTGTCTTCCGAATAATATGTAGGTGACGCTATAGGCTGTCAAAATGACATTTGCAGCCTGGCTGTGATGTGGCTACACTTACTGGTCATGACGTTATCCGCATTGATAAGGGATCTTGTGGGAAGAGCAGGCATGGCTTGGGCTCCACAGTGTGTGGCTTTTGTGAGGAAACTTTAAGGAACAGAACAGAATTGTTTCTTAGTAACCTTTTAGTATTTACAGACACAGCGACTACACAGAAAGTAAATATAGTCAGAGCGTCCAGCGGTTTGCCATCTGCCGTTATGGGTGGTGATTATAAATTATATCTCGAGTAAGGGGAGGCTGGGGATGGGGGTGTGAGAGTCTGGTGACTGTGATTTTGGGGGGCAGGAAAATTCTTTGTTTTTTTTTTTTTTCCTGCGGCAGGAGAGTGAACAGAGCCCCCAGTGTTAATACAGAGTAAAGAAGGCAGGGTCCTCTTCCAGCTGCTCCCTGTTAGCTGGGAGTCTACAAGACTCCTAGGGGATCCTGGTTGCCATTTGTTGACAAGGTCCAGCCCTGGGCAGCAAGGATTGGAGGTTGCTGAAGTGAGTGAGCCTTTAGGACAGGCAGAGGAGAGCCTGTGGCTTCCTCATTCCTGCAGCCTGATACAGCGCTTACGATGCTGAAAACTGTAGAATGGGATGTTTCCTTATATAGAATCATACGGTGGAAGTGGAGCTAGGAATCCTGCAGGCCTTTTCCTGACTGCATCCAAAGGACCCTGAACTGCCAAGTATGGAGGGTCATTCTGAGGGAAGACTCCACTCAGCCCCAGCCTGGCAGGCCAGACCAGCTACTCAGAAGGGCACAGTGTCTGGGCCCCCTTGCTGAAGCTTGAATGCTACATTTATAAATAGCTGAAGGCCGACCTCGTTCCCCTGGGTGTAGACGCATGACCAGGGTGACCCATGATCTGCCCACCTCACTTCTGTCCTTAAGTCAACGCATAGCTTTTCACCTGCTTGAGCTGGCTTGACACACAGGATTATGTAAACTTCTCCTTTTGTAGAATGCAGGGAATCTAAGTACAGTCATTTATGTTCAATGCTTGAGTTCAGGAAGCCCAGGGGCTGGTTAAACTAACAATAATTTGTCTTTATGCTATTTAGATGTGGATGCAGCATTTTTTCCCTTTGAGTAATGATGAGGACTTTTTCCAATATAGTAGCTATCGAGCGAGTAAGTAAAGCAACTAGATGTATGATACTAAAAATAAATGGCTTCATTAAAAAAATCTTATAATTTAACAAACAAAAATAATTAAAATTCTGTCTGCTTTTGAGGCACAGTTGTTAATTTTTCTCTCGTAAACTGAGAAAATACTTATGTAAAATACTGGCCAATTTGGGCTACTAAATGTTGCAGAAATATAAAATATGAAACTATTACATGTGATAGGAATAGTTTTCCAGTTTACGGATTAATCTTTCAATCTAAATATTTTTCCTGTGTGGACACTTTTTGCTCTTGTTCTTCCGTGCGGCCACGGTGCTGTTGGAGATAACGTGAGGGCATGCCATCCCAGGGTGGAGAACGTAAAGAGCCCCCAGCTGTGTCCTAGCAAACCTGTTGCTCTTCTCTGCTTATCTGGAATTTAGCCAAGGACCAGGGAGCTGGCAAAAGAATCTGCTTAGCAACCAGAGAAGACGGTATAAAATGCACAGAAAACTTGACTTTCTCAGAACATAGTGTTTTCCTAGACACAGTTCTTTCTTTTCTGATGCAGGGCCTTGTGTAGTCCAGCCTGGCCTCGAACCTGTTGTGTAGGCATCTTAGACTTCTGGTCTTCCTAAGGGCTAAGGTCAGAGGTCATGTGCCTTCATATTGGCTTACGTGGTGCGGGGGAAGTGAACTCAGGGCCTTGTGTATGTGAGGCAAGCACTCTATCAAACTGAGGTGCGTAACAACCCTTAAAACATTCTAAATAATGATGTGCGTAGTTACACATTTAGAAGAGGGTGAGGACTTCCGTAACTAGCAGTGAAGAGTGACTCCAGATAACATGACATCAAGGATAACTCTAGACTTAAGAATTGGATCAAAACCCCTGAGTGAAGTCTTGGGACTCCTTAGCGAGGCACTCTTGACTGACTCTAGGCTCATCTCTACGTAATGATACCAACGAATGATTCATTCTACCTCCTGGCGATAGCAGCAACATACCAAAAGGTTCCTACTCTTAAAACATGTTCTTTAAGAAGATAAGAAAGTGTTCAGTATACACAGAGAATATTTACATTCGAGGTGATTAACCTCCAAACTGTTCTGGCACACGTCAGCAATTCAGAGAGCCAGGCTGTGCAGAGTGACTCATTTGTCAAATGGCTGAGATTTCCCAAACCCGAGTCATCCTGTGTCATTCATTTTGAAATCAACAGTTAAAATATACGCACATTTCTTTTTGTGCCTGGAGATTTTAAACTTAGTAGATGAGGGTCACAATTGCACCTGAGGCTTTATTTTATGCTCATAGAGGAAAAAGCATTCCTATGAAATGACTTTAAGTAGGCTGCGCATTGAACATGGCTCACTGGAGATCTGTGGGACGTGTTTTTCATTTCCTTCCTTAAGAATCTAGTGGCTGGGTGGTGGTGGTGGCTCATGACTTTAATCCCAGCACTTGGGAAACAGAGGCAGCTGGATCTCTGTGAGTTTGAGGGTCTACAGAGCAAATGCCAGGAAAGCCAAGGCTACACAAAGAAACCCCGTCTTGAAAAACCAAGGGGGAAAAGAATCTAGTGACTTGCTGATTTATTCTTTGCCCTGGGTTCATCACCACCAGAGATCCGAAGAAGTAGTTGGCTCAGTTTCTGCTACGGCTTTGATGGGTGATGTTCCCAAAGGTCTATGTGTTAAAGTCTTGATTTCCAGACTGAAAACACTGCAAGGTGGTAAAACCTCTAAGAGGGGTCTGGTGGGAGCCTCCAGATCATGGAGGGTGTCCCTTGGGAGAGAATAGTGGGTGCACCCTTTCTTCTTCTTTTTGGCTCTCCCACCCTGAGGTGAATGTTTTTGCTTTGCCATGATGTAATACCATAGGCCCACGGCAGCAAGACTAACTAACTGTTCATGAGTGGAAACCTCCAACACTGTGAGCCAAACCTTTTCTCTTCATAACCTGACCATTGCAGGCATTTGCTACAGTCATGGAAGCTGACGAATGCGGTTCCCCTGGCTTGTTCAACTGTTTTGCCTCTGCGCTCCAGACTTAGTCAAGGACGGCGGTCATGTCCCCTCTAAGTAACTGCTTGTTTCCAGAACCCTCATGACCTTAAATAAGGGCTCAGTGTGAGCCAGCGCAGGTTCACACTGTGACTTTGCTGGTCTCTCTTTATGACGACAGTTTCTGGGACTAGCAGGGGGTTGGACGCTAACATAATGGCAAGCTAGAACTTCTGCCTGCAACTTCCCTCGAAGCCTTGCAGAGAACAATAGATTATGTGACACTGTTCAGAGCTTTCTGTCATCTGTGCTTGAATTGCTTTCTGTCAGCGGAACGTGAATGATAAATCACGATCTACAAGTTAATGTATAAAGACTTTTAATTCACAAATAGCATATATTTGGAGGGGAATTAGGTGCATCTATAGCAAGTTAATGTAAAAAAGAAACATTGTTGCTTACCTCTAATTAAAAACCAGAGACTGACTTGACTCTCTGAAGTGGGAATGCTGGAGACAAGAATGGATGGAGACAAGATACTCCTGCGGTGCATCTGCTGTCCTTAGTGGGCGAGGACGCTGGTCCTGTGGGTTTATGGCTTTGGGTGACGGTGTGCTGTTTTTTCTCCTCACCTGACTTTTCAGGATTGCTAACAGAGTAAAAGAGAACAGCAGAGGGGTTTTTCTTGATGATGTGATAAGATATTATTTGTAATTTTTTTTTAATTTAATGCATTCACTTAACGAACACTTTCTGATTGCCTGCTATTCCCCTGGTCCAATGCTATGCAGCGGGAAAACAGAGATAGCCCGCCGTATTCCAGTGTCTGGTACACGATAGCTGTTTTCAGTATGGAGTGAATAACTAATTCTCTAAGGTGCTGAAATGTACGTAAGGTCATAACACATACAGAAGGAGGCATACTGAGGGGTGGGGTGGACAAAGCAGCAAGGGGCTCCGGCAAAGGCGGAGACGACTTGGTTGAGCTGGATACGTGTTGAGTTGAATCTGGAGTGGTATCTGTGGACTGGTTCTACACAGAGAAGACTTCAATGAGGAGGCAAAGAGGCAAAGCAGAGGACAGCATTTGTCCAACTGTCCTGGTGAGGCAGGGAGCGGTGAGTGTGCCGTAACCCAGCTCTAGGGTGCAGAAGGTAAAAACAAATAATGTCTGTGCGCGGTATGGCCAGCCAAAGAGTTTGGAGTTCATTCTGCAGAAGTGACTGAAAGCCCAGATGGACTTTCATCCCAGGGGCATGCTGGGAAGAGAGAGGGAAGGGGCTCACAGATGGGAGGGATGTATGTGGTACA